TTGCATTGTGTGTTCGTGTGATTATTGAACACGCTCCATTACCACTGCTCCACTACCACTAGGTAAACAAAGATTCATTGGCATTGGTTTTTCCTCTCATGAGTATCGTATGCATTTTCTTTGTGGCGCATTCACTTTCTCATTGGTACATGCATTTTCTCAGTGGCGTGTACACTTTCTCAGTGCCACATGCACTTTCTTAGTGGCACATGCACTTCTCAGTGCCACATGCACTTTCTCCTATACATATGTGTTTAAATTCACCCAGGCCCAATCGCAGTGTGGCACGTCGGCTCTTGCAATCTTTGAATGGTGCTGTGGAGACTGGGGATGATGGTACCGACACCCCTCCGGAGCCCACTATGGAGGACCTCTTTGGCCCTGACCCGTACCAATTCCCTGACAAGGCCGACAAGTGTGAGCGGGAAATGGTTGAGGACTCTCAGATCCCTGACTCGCCAAAAGAGGTGGACTCTCAAATCCCTGATCTTGAGGGCTCTCGGATCCCTCAACATGGTGTGATGGACGCTCCTGGTTCCAATGAGCTGACAAGTGAGGAAAAGGAGGCTGATCTTGCCACTCAGGATCGGAAACGTGAAGCTCACCGTGCTTCAAGTAGATTGTGGCACCAGAAATGGTCCAGCAAGGGTGTGCCTCGAAATGACCCACCGCCCGCGCCAGTTTGTCCTGCTCCAAAGGCAAAGGCCAAAGAGGCGGCGGCCGTGCCAGCGCCATCCCTGAGCAAAGCTCGGGAACAATTCATCACTGAATGGATTGCCCGGTCTGATCTTCCTAAGTCCCAGGAACGATTTAAAGCTGCATGCAAGGCATGGATGGACAGTTCAACCAGGGCTGACATGCTGGGCACCCGAGGTGGTGTCCAAAAGTGAGGGTCCAGTCTCCCACTTTGAAGTGCAAAGGAAGTTTGGTTTGAATGTTTACTGATATAATCTGATATATCAAGACTAATATGAAGACTTGTTCATGGATACACTCAATGGACCCAATATAGGATGGCATCCAGAATGGTGCAATGGGGTAATTGCTCCATGGGATGCGAAGAAGACATAAGAAGACCGTGTTCGCTTCCGAACCACTGACTACAAAAAAGGAGTTTGATTCAGCCTGTGCGTATTTTGTTTTTGAAAGAATATGTCCAGCAACAGTTCTTCCGCCCCAGGCCCGAGCCTGCATGGCCAGAAGGCCCATGGTCCCGCCCCACGGGTAAACGAAAGAATGACAAAACAACTAGTCTGCTGTAAGTGTGAAGCCTATAGTGTGAAGGTGTGCAAGAACTAGTCTTGAGATGTCTTGAGGATTGTATCTAAAGGGCGTTCACAGATCTTCACACCTTCTTTGCGAGGGTTTGATTACATGGTTTGATTGCCGGGTATGTCTCGAATGTGTGGTTCATTGAACAAATCGTCCTCGAGAAAAGAATACATAGTTCACGCAATGGTTTTCATGTTTCAACTATATGTATATATAAGAAGGTTTCTTGAACCTTTGAGATGTGTGGGATGTCACAGCGTCGGCCAGGCTCTCTCGTGAACGACATCTTCACTGGAGTGAAGGCTGACAGGTCTTCCTTAGGACCTAGGTGGTAATGTGGATCCAAGACCAGCACATTTCAATACAAGTGTCGAAAACATACCACGAAATCAAACCTATCAGTTACTTAAGTACTTCACTTCGAGTTTTCCCTACATATTTTTTTTGGGTCTGTGTTTTTGAGTGGTCTGGGTAGTCAACCACTGCTTGCACTGTCATGGGCATAACCATTGCTTGCTTTGTCATGGGCATGACCATTGCTTGCTTTGTCATGTGCAGGACCATAGTTTGTGTCCTCATGGGCATGACCATTGCTTGCTTTGTCATGGGCAAGCTTTGTGTGACCAAAGTCTGGTAGTGGAGGGTGGGCATGGATTCTAATGGAATCTAAATGCCACCAATTGGGGCCCAAATGCCACCAATGTAACTTTGTGGCATTGCAGTCAAGATCGGTTCCAGGTGCTGCCAATCTACCGCAACTGAACTCGAAACAAGTCTGGATTTCCCGATGAGTATCGGGCTTGCTCCGTGGGTGGTAGCATAGCAAACAATCCTGGCACAAAGTGCAGCCTCCAAGCTTCGACGCTGGGCTCTGGATGGATTTTGGCAGGGTTTACTCGTTTATCAAGCGCAAGTACGATGTCAACCTTACCAACGACGAACTTTTGACGGTCATCACATCCAACCACAGATTCATGCTCGAAGTGAGGATTGCGCCAAAGGGGACTTTGGTCGGTGGAAAATACCAGTACACTCCGCTCAGGATCAAAGCAATCCAGAACCACAATGAGTGGTCGAACAACAACGTTCAGGATGCCCTTCCGGAGCATGAACGCTTTGTGACCCTGGACGAGGAGTATACTTCGGTTGAATACCTTGCCGGCCAATTCCCTCGAGTTCCGCGTAATGCATTGGGAAAGGTGAAGGAAGTGGCACCCACCATCCTTTACTACTATACGCACCGAGCAGCCCTCATCGAGATCATCAACATGGGTTTGATCCCTGGTGGAAACAGAACCGGGGCCCGATTCACCTTCTTGACGAAGGAAGATCCTTGGACCATCTCAGGCACCGATTACGCTGCCATGGCGGCTACTCGCCCCATATGTGTGGCAATGGACCTGCAGATGATGATTTTGAACGGGCATCGGCTCATTGAAACTACCGCCGGGACGATCTTGTGCCCCGACTGGATCGCCAATCGGAACGTGATCTATGTCTACGACATGGAATCCAAATGCTACGCCTTTGCGAACCACGTCTACGCCCACTACCGTGGCATCATTGCTGGTGAGACAAAGGCATTCCATGCCGCACGCACTGGGGGACCAGTTGCCGATGACGATGAAATGGTGAAGAGTCCACTCGAAAAGTAGTCCTCGATGACTATGAAAGATGGTGTGGAAAGGTGGACACCTTCTCCCCTTTCGTGTACGGCGAACTGCATGAGCGCCCAGGTGTGAAGGACCAGATGATCTCAGGAAAGCGAAATCCTGACCTGGAAACCTATGAGGTCACGTACATCGTTCGCAGACCCAATTTCAACGCCTACCGAAATCAGGTGTCGCCCAAAGAGATGCTACCCAACTTCAACCGCCCTCGGTTTGATTGGCGCAAAGTCCACCCCGAGACTGAGGGGTATGGCAACACTCGATGGATGGTCGTTGAGGGCATTCAGATGCCAGAAGATCAGTGTCCGACGTGCAGGCACACCTATACCCATGGCATTATGTCCTGCATCACTTGCGGCACCTTCCTCAACAATGCCTCAGATCTGTGTAAGGCTGCCCAGCTCATTCGGATCGAGGAAATGGCAACCGACCTTGGGATCGAAGTCACGATGGACATGGTTCCTGAGGACAGGTTGCAGGGAACAGGGGTGAGGAAGACGCCGGCGGGGACGCCTGGCCATGAAATCCAACGTGCTTCACGTTCGGGCATCAACATCCTGAAAGCGAACGCCAAGAGCCATGTCCAGAAGGCGGAGAAGATGTGCCTGACAGTTTCGCAGCGGCAACTGGTTGACGCTTTCTACGCGTTCAACTGCGCAGCCCAAGACCTCTCTCCGATCTGCATTCAATTTCTTGAACGATTGTCGGATGCCGTCATTCCTGATCCTCCGAGGACGAGGGAAATGATCGCCCAAGGCATCGGTCATCGATACGCCGGAAAGGTCATCTTCATGAACGAACCGGCAAAAGGAAGTGATGCAGACCTGAGCGAAGATTTCTTCATCTACTGGAAGAATAGGCTGCACCGCCCTGAGACTTTTGCTGCGGACTATTGTCAAGGTGCGAAACGACCCGCAATTTTGGGCTTCGGAGGTGAGTGGCGAAGTGAGAAGACGGACCCTGATGATGTTCTGGACGAACTCCTTGAATTTGTGATGGGCGATGCTCAATTTGCCCCTGGCATCGATGTCAATCTTGTGAAAGAGACAAGGGCTCTCGTGATTCCCAAGGCCAAGGCAGCGCCAGGTCCAGGCGAAAGTTTGGCAAGGGCTACACGGACCCAAGCTGAGACATCAGAGCATCGCTGGCGAGGAGCTGCCGGGAGTGACCAGACCTATGATTGGCAGCAATCGTCCTCATCGTCTTCATGGTGGTCCTCATCCAACCGCAACTGGTGGCAAGATGATCGCGGTCGTAGCAGTGATTGGCGAGGACACGACTGGTGGAGTCAGCGCAGGTGGTGAACACGACGCACAGCGGGAGCTGTTGCCTGTGGAAAAGGGAATGAAATCTACGGGTGACTCGGCTGTCTTTGTGCACTGTGTTTTCCCTCATCGCACCGCGGGAGCGGTTGCCTGGATAACCGTTTCTGTGATGCACCGGGGGACCGGATGCCTGATACCAGCAGCTAATTCGTTTGAGTTCAGGTCGATGAACTTGGCTCTCAATCCTTGCAGTAAGAAGCGCACATCTTTTGTCGTGCTTTGTCGCCACGCGGGAGCGTGTGCCTTGACGGCTTTGTTCCTGCTTTCTAAAAGGATGGCATTGCACCTCCTGTTCCGCTGCGCCAAAAGGAGTTACCTTTGACAGCTTGCGTTGAGCTTTCATGCATGAATCCGTTGAGACATGTTCAACACTAGCATCAAAACATTACAGTGCTTTATGTGATCCGTCCATGAGGTCAATCATCCTCTCCATCTCAAGGCACGTTCCGGTTCGATGCTTCGCACGTACCGGGGGACCGGATACCTTCGTAGGTCCTTAATTAGTGCACTGTACATAACTTCACTCCTCCCATTTTCGTTCAGCGGGGGGTGTCGTTTCACGCTAGTATGTCTAATACATGTCTCACTTACCTACCGTTTGGCTCAAGGAAAACCAGGTGCGACTAGTTGGTACTTTTCGGTCGTTCTCCTGTAACTACACCTCTCACGTCGATGCTGATGTCACGGAAAGAGGCTGTAGCATGGTGTAGCCCACTACTTGCAGACATGGCAGGAGATTCAATCGTTGAAGAAGGCACAAAGAGATTTGCTGGCGAAGATGCAGTCGATGAAGCACGATCGATCTGCACCAGTCGCAGCGATACAAGAAGAAATCACGCACCTAGGCATGACATCGGACAGCCACATGTTTTTTGACATTCAACAAAGGCAATACATACCTAACCCCTTTGTCTTCAGCTGGTGTGGGTCAAGTCTTTGGGACCAAGACCTATGATACCTATGTGATCCTGCTGGGGCTTGTTCCACCCTCTTGTTTGGTTGTTCAGCTCTGAAAAAGACCCGAGGCCTTCGCTGGGCTCCCGAGAAATCGCTTTGTTGAACGCCTGCCTCACCAGTGCTTCGGAACGCTCTTTGGGTGAGCTCAAGGCTTTGCTCCTGCGCCTGGGCCACGCGCTCAGCGAACAGCGCGGAAGTGCCGAGTTTCAGGAGATCCTTCGGCTGATCCAGGCGGGCACCGGAACCATCCGGAACCCGCGTTTTCGGGCCAGTCAATGAGTTGGTGACCTTGACCGAGTGCCGGTTTGTCCCTTGGAGTGGAGTTTGGGGTTCAGCTAGCTCAACGACTAGGCAAAGGTCTTTGTGGTTGCCGAACCACAAGTTGAAGGCTCATGATTCAACCGCAACAACACTGGTTGAAGATGTGAAGTTAAGAGTTAAAGTATCCGCACCTGGGAGCGGAGCCTTAGGCCCCACCACTGTTTTCAAGTTGCAGTTTCAGTTTCTGTTTGTTTTTTGTTTTTGAGCGTGCAGTGAAGTGACATCAAACGAAAATCACTGAGAGAGACCCCCTAAAATCTCTGAGATTCTTGGTAGATGACCTTCCTCCCCTGCCTTCCTTCAGTTCTCGTCTCGAGGCGATCCCTATCCTGGACATTCCCGAGTCCATGGAGACGGGCTCCCAAGCCGATGCCGACCACCCGGCGATCGGCCAGGAAGAGCCGGGACCTGAGGGCAGCGGCACGTCCTTTGATGAGCCTTATAAAGATACGGAACATATCAAGAAGTTTGGTTGGAGAAAGAAAGAGAGAAGGGAATGAGAATGAGACACAGTTTCGCTATCGATGATTTGTCTCCCACGTCTAACTGCCGGCCTTTTGTTGCAAATGATGCACTGAGATCCTGAGAACTGGGATCTATTGGGTGTGTCAAACACCACCGCGTCATTAATTTAGTGCATGTTTAGTACCTGCCATATTTTTCCCAACATCACTTCAGAATCAAGTTTGCTCACCCTGCTGTCCATGTGTAACTGCAGATTCAGATACCGATATCTATACATGATCACCCACTCATGGCAACCTAGCACCCTAGCACCCATCTTACTTAAGACTTGACTTAATCAGTGCTAGTCCTTCTTACTCGTATCTTCTTGTTGCTGCATGTCCTACCCATTTGACTCGAGTCTTCGAGTCAGGTTGGAGCTGCTCCATGTGGGTCTGAAGGCTGCTGGGAAGCACGTGTCCCCTGACCTGGCTAGCCTTCTATCGCAGCTGGGTCAAGGCGCGGACGGTGCGCGGAGGCCCTCGAGCCCCAGTGGGGTTTGGCGCGCTTTTTCTCGGAACCTTGTTGCGGGAACTGCCCAAAAGTTGTATTGACGAGGGGTTTGGCCGCTGTGCTTGCGGAGCCCTCCACGATTACGTTGGCATCCAAACCCTCCAAACCATATATATATATATATATGTCTTCATTTTCAGGTGCGGAGTCACAACCAACCAGTTTCTTTCACAGAAAGTGGGCTCCGTTCAACCGAATGGGATTGTTTTGGTGCCCCCAAAACCTCCGCTTTGGGCGTCCATATGCCGGGTCTACTACAGACATACATAATGAGGAGTCAACCTACCCGTATTATTCCCATATGACCATATGTTCGATGTTACAGATATTATATGATTCATTAGCATATGTAACATTATGTCATGTGATTTCGATGCTGAGTCAAGACGCCACTCATATGAGTCATATTTCTCAACGCTTCCAGGTGTTGCCGAGGGCAGTGACCTGAAGCGTGTGGTGCAGCTCATCCAAAAAGTGACCCGACCGCGAAATCAGCGAAGCTGAACACATTCTGTAGGCTGTGTTGGGGGCTGATGAGTTGGACCATATAAGAGGCCCCCCCC